TACGGGGGCTACTGCTGTTCCTGCGTATACCTTTGCATCCACAGACGAAGACGTGTATGATGTGAATGCCCGGCTGACAAGGGAAGTGTCAGAGCTCACAAACGCGTTGTCCGAGACCCAGGCTCAACTGGACAGTGTACTACTAATTGCGTACTAGTATGTGAAATGTCCCTGGTTTACATGCAAATACAGGCGCGGCGGGACGTGCAAGTGCTCAAGGCGGACGTCGACATGCTGGGAGACGCGACGTTCCGAGACCGCCACGTCCAGCGCCTCACGGACGAGTTGGCGTGTGAACGCAACCGCGTCAAGGCGTTGGAGATAGAAATGCTCGATCTGCGGGTCAAGCAAGCCGACTTGGCCAAGGGAGTGCTGCAAAAGCACTCGCTCGTGCATCGATTTCGCAGCACCGTTCAAAAGCCAACGGCTGCTTACACTGTATATTGATCACACGTTTAGAGTTTCGAGTTGATAGGTCTATTTGTGGGCAGGAAGCTCATGCCTCCGCTGCCATGTCGACCGATTCGTTCGCAGACGAAGCCCCGCTGCTCCCCTCCGCTGACGACAAGGTCGCGACCCCCCACTCGAGCCTTTTACCGGCCGTTCAAAGCGCCCGCCACACGTTCAAAGTCATGGCGAACCTCGACATCAAGCTCAGGTAAATATACGTAAGATGTCACTATTGTTTGCGTCCAAAAGTCTTGAAAGGTCGGTAGTGACATGCTATCGCCTCCTAAAAAACGGTCGCTGTCCGCCACGGCCCGTGTCACACAAGCCGTGGTGAAGCTCAAGGCGAAGCTTCAGCACAAGACTCTGGTGGACAACGCGCCTGTTCCCGTGGAGCTGGTGGAGCTACGCCGTCGCATGAACGTCCTGTACGACCGGAAGCGCCAGCTGGACGAGTTCGCGGCGCTGGCATCCAGCCATCCCCGTCCTGGCCCGAGTTTGACCTTTGCGGAACTCGTCCTCGGGTGGTTCGTGGCCAAATACTCGACGCTCCAAGACGCTGAATCGGTCGGTTGTTTCTCTCTTGAGAGCGATTCCTTGAATATTGACTTGATTTGTGGTGCTTGTTTTGAGTTATATAGGAAGCCAAGGCATTTATGGCTGGACTCAGTCGCTTTCGCAGCGTTTGCGGTCACGTGTGGCTCATGGAGGAGTTCCTCCACGGAAAACACCCGGACGAAGTCGTGTCGTTCTACCTGTGGGTCGTCCAGGGCGTCCGGGACATTCACATAGGGGCGCGGTGCCCCATAACCGCCACCGATACCCACCCCCAGTTCATTTGCAAGTTCAAGGCCTCGCTTCTCACCCGCACCATCTTTCGCGTGCTACGCTTTCGCACGTGCGGGTTCGGGTACGACATGCATTCCCGAGGATCGGGTCCCACTGTGTGACGTCGTTGACGGGAGTGTATGTAGAAGTACCGACCGCGGAACGGCCGTCGCGCGCGACGACACGTTGGAGGTGATGGCGGACTGCGGACGGTTGTTTGCGGCGGCGGCGGCCGGCGGGCCCATGTATTTAGGCGAATTCCACGCCATATTGGACCAATTTGTGACCAAAGGGAACGGTGAGAACGACGAAATGTACCCGCTGGATGTGTACTTGTACCTGTTGGTGCTGCTATTCAAGAAGCAAAATGAGTGGCATGTGGCGCACTTGGTGGAGCAGTTCCGCCACCACGCGGCGGACGCGCACAAGGAAGAGATGCGGCGCCAGGCGGCGCTGCTGGCCGCCCCCAAGAACCGCGGGTCCAATCCGGACAACAAACCCAAGAAGAAGAAAAAAGCCAGCGCTTTGTCCAAGGGTGCCATGACCAAAGAAGTCTTTGGGGCGTTCGTGGCCAAGTTGGATCTGGTGCGGTCCCTTGGAGACATCCAGGAAGTGACGGCGCTCGTCGTGCGCAGTCGGCGCGAGTACGACAGCGGCGGCATCACATCCGATGCGTTTATAGCTGCGGCGCACGCTAACCACTGGTTTGCGTATGTTGTTTATTCGTATTGAGAATTCGGCGAAACGAAAATGGACGTAGGCTCGAGTTTGCCACGCGCATGTCGTTGCGACACGAGTTGCACGATGTCACAGACGACCACGACAAGGCAACGAGGCAGTTGGCGTCGACGTGGAATCTCCACCTGAGTCGGCTCACTATTCACGGCGAGTGCGATAAGAACGTTTTTGTTTCACGGTATGTGGTACAGCTGCGACAGCGCGTGACACTGGCACTGCACGACCAAAAAACTCTATCGCACAAGTCGAATCCCCACACAATTCTCGCGCTGTGTCGGGAGCTCCTGCGCTTCTCGTGGCAGTTGGCCGTGCTGCGAAGCCACGGGAACGGCTTCACCAAGCCCGACGACGACGACGACGATGCTACTGATGTCATGTCCGTCTCCACTCTGGACATGACTCGGTCCAGCGAGCTCATTCTGATCGCCAAGGGCGTCTGCAGCCTTCCGGCGGCGGACGGTTCGTACAAACCCAGCGACGGATCGATTGATTTGGAGCATGGCCTCGATGATTTGCACCCATTTACATGTATCCACATGGCGAATGTCGGCGATTTATTTCCCCACGGGACGCCGACGTCGATGCAATCGTCGGAAAGTGTGGAACTGCATCGCATATTGCAGCGGTATGCGTGGCATGTGTGCGAAGTGTACCGGTCATACTCGCTCGTGTGCAATGCGACAACGTTTGGACTGACCTTTGCTGCGTTTCAAGAGCTCGTGCACGACTTGGCGATCGTCACGCCTCACTGCACCATCGTGCACCTGAACGCGGTGTATCAACATGTGGTTTCGTCGAACATTATTCTAGACAACCGGACAGATCAACACACAAAGCTGCAGACGGATGACAAGGTCATGAACGACACGTTCGTGGAACTGCTGCTCCGGCTAGCGGTCGAGCGGCATACACGAGAGGGTCGAGTGGCCATGCCGAGTCCGACGCAAGCAGACGACGACCGACGGATCTCCCGGATATTCGACCACTTTGTGACCGAGTACCTCCTGCCCAACGTGTGCCAGGCGGCCAACCACACGTTTCGCCAAGAAGTGGCGGCGTTGGACGTCCAGCGACTCCTGCTGCACCACCGGAGGTTCCTTCGACGTGTGTTTCTGCATTATGCCAAGCAAGATGCGCTGGATGTGGAGAGGTCCAAGATGAACTTTGGCGAGTTTCAGACGTTCGTGTCCGAGTTCCAACTCAACGACGACGCGCTGTTTCCCCCGGCCATGACGCTGCTCGTGTTCAATGCCGTCCAGGACGACGTGGACGAGCGCCAATGCGTCTTCCATGAGTTCACGACGGCGATCGTCGCTATCGCGCAAATGAAGAACAACAATCCGTTCCTCAAGTGGAGGCGGAAGGCTGACGAGTTCATCGGCCGCCTCGTCGACTTTGCGCACGCAAACCTTCGTCCACAGCTTTTGTCATGATTATGATCTGAGGGAGATGTCATAAATTGTGTTCCGATGTAATGTTTTCAATGGTAACCAGTCTATATGCAAAAATAATAAGCCAAAATAAACTTAATTATATTATGCATTAATTCAAATAGTTATATATAGTTAGTTACACATAGAATGCATAATATTTTCTTAGCTGTTTGAAATTCACAGTAGCTGGTTGTAGATCAGGCGATAAAGCACTGAACAGTTGTTACAGGCTCCAACCAGCGAAAGCACAGCAAGAGCGGCAGTTTGGAGATAGATCTCATGTCGACGGCGCTCTTCTCTCGACACCTGCTCACACACGTCGAAGGTCCCCAGGAGGCCGAAGGTATGCTGTTCCGGTACGTCGCGACGTTGGCCATCTCGTCGGGCATGACCGTGTGCACTTGCTTCACCGTGTTCAAGTGGGAGAACGTGACGCGGGATGCAGGCCACGGCACGATGTTCATGGTGTTCTTCTGCTGGTTCATCTGGTCCGTCTGTGCTCTCGTGCGTACCGTGGTGGTGTACATGAACGCGCGCCTCGACACACTGGATCACGCGGCCACGCGGCACGTGTCCTTCTTCACCGAGACCTTCTTCAACGCGATCTCGCTCTGGTTCGTCGTCGCCGCCTACGAGTTCCAGCGCCGCGCTCTGAGTCCCCGCACCACCCGCAGCCACAAACAGTGTCTCATGTGGTACATGGTCGTCATCGGCGGGGTGTCCGTCGCCATGGTGGTGTCTCTCATCGTCGTGGAATGCAGCGCGTGGACCGTCGCGTACTTCGACCATTCCGTCCCCATGTCGGCCGTGCTGCTCACGAATCTGTCCTGGGCCACATGGGGCCTGCGCTGCTTCTCCATCGTGTACGCCGGCGCTGTCGCAGTTTGGCTCAACCTCCGACGTGACCGCCTCAAATTGGCCGGTCTACCCAAGGCTCTGTCGCAGATCGTCGTCTTTTTCTGCGTCCTCAACACCCCGTTCCTGGTCGTGGATCCACTGCTAGACTATGACGTGATCAAGGCGTCGGAAGTGTCAGGCATGCGTGTCCTAGGTCTCATGCGAACGTTGAGCTACTTTGGGGGCATCGCCATGTCGTTCGTGATGGGGTTCTCCGTCCGGGGCTTCGACTCGTTCTACCACTCCCGAAGGTCGTCGGTGACCAGCAGCCACACGTTTCCTCCCCCCAGCCGACGGTCATCGTTTTTCGTGCTTTCTGAATGAAAATGAACCTTCCATTGTAAGATAGTGTCCTTTTGGGCAAAATTTGGACATCACCAAATCGCAGAGAATCGATCGACGAATCAAAACCCAGAGCACTAATCAAGTGGCCAATCAATTCCCACTCTTCGACCAAATCAACACCGAATTAGTGTGTGACTGAAATTAGTGTCGTACTGGACGATCTCCAATTTCGAATCGACTTGACAAATAGTAACGTTAGTAATCGTTGGATAAAACCACGTGGTCTTATGGTTAATTGAGTTTGTCTTATCATTCATAAGACGTGGTCTTATGGAGATAGAATATCGTTAAACGGAGCTGTCCGACATGACAAAGAAGGAGCGTTGGCTCGTGCTGGGGGTGGGTTGCTGTGTGCGTCGGGACGGCAAGGACGAGCGGGGGGGCGCGGGGAGGTAGAACGCGTCGAAGCCCCGGACGGAGAACCCCATCACGAGCGAAATGGCCACGCCGCTCGTGTAGCTGACCGTCTTGGACAGTCCCCGGACCTTGAGCCCCATGTTCGAGTCCAGTTGAAGCATGTCCAGCTCCACAAGAGTGTCCAGCACCAGGTACGGCAGATTGAGCACGAAGAAGCACACGACGATGAGGGTCAGCGCTTTGGGTAGTCCCTGTACGAGCAGTCGGTCGCGCCGGAGGTTGAGCCAGAAAGCCATCGCGGCGGGGTACACGACGGCTAGCCATCGCAGCCCCCATGTACCCCATGACAGTCTGGACAGGAGCAGGGCGGACACTGGTCCCATGTGACTGCCGTCGGCACTGACGACGGCGGATCCAACGTACTCGACAACAGCCAGCGCCACCAACATGGCGACAGAGACCCCACCGATGACCAGCATGTACCAGATGAGACATGCGTGGTTGCTTCGAGGGGTGCGGGGATGCAGGGCACGACGCTGGAACTCGTAGGACGCCACCATGAACCACATGGAGATCGCATTGAAGAACACTTCCGAGAAGAACGAGATGCGACGGATGGTCGAGTTGGCGAGCGTGTCCACTTGACCGGTCGCGAAGACAACGAACGTGTTGCATAGCACGGACACAGACCAGACGAACCAACAGAAGAACACCATGAACATAGTGCCGTGGCCGGCGTCGCGCTTGACGTTGTCCCACTTGAAGACGGTGGTGAGGGTACACAGGGTCATCCCCGCGGACAGCGCTAGGACGAAGACATACCGAGGAAGGAGTTCGATGGGCTGGGTCGACCCATCGACCTCGTTATGCAGACCTCTTCGGGGCAGCATGAGAACGAATGCACTGGAGCGGCTATCATACTCAGTAACGAGATGCAGACCAGTTCCACGGGTGGTGAACTAACCCCAAAACTATTCAATTACCGGGTATTTAACTATTTACCGGGCTTTTACTGAACAGATCGGGTAGTGAAACAAGTGAAACAGTCGTGTGGCATCTTGACGGTTCAGTCGGACCACACAGATGGTAGGTACTTTTGCAAAAGGCCCGTCATTAGGCCTCTGAATCAAAAACGTAATTTCTGATCATATTAACCGGTATATTGGAAGTACTTCGAGATATACGGGATAAAATCCATACTATGATCAAATACAGTGATGAACGGATAAAACAAAGATCGAGAAAAACAGGAATTGACAAATACCTAGTTTGATCAGTACCTATAGTGCTTGCTCAAATACTCATTTATAGAGGATAAAGGCCTCGCAGCCAACCAAGTACAATTTGATGTCGATACTTTCAACACCACACACGCAAAAATGCGAACCAGTTTCACCTTGATCCTTGAACGATTCTAAGTCCAATATGTCTCGGATCGCCTCTTCCTTGAAGAGAGCCTTCATGACTTCGGACCAGAGCTTGCCGAGGTTGACGAAAGCCACAACTACGCCAACGAGATTGTCGACAAAGCCGTCGAAGAGAGCGGTCCCGAGGGATTTCGCGTGCTGACCAATTTCACGGTAGATGAGTTCGAATCGATCTGGTCGGTCGTCGAGTCAACCTTGTTTTCACGCTGGAATGATGGACGCGGGCACAAGTCAAAGACAACACCAAAAGACGCTTTGTTCGTTACGTTGGTCGTTTTAAAGCACTATCAAATGTGGGACAAGCACGCCCTCGACTTGGGCATGAAGGCGCCGACGTTGGAGAAGATGGTCATGAGGTTGATCAAAATTGTCTAGCCTGTCCTGTACGAGCACTTTGTGACGATTGCCGAGAATGACGGACCTGCGGGGCAAAGCGCCGTGTTCCGCAACTACCTGTTCGCCAAGTATGCGACCGATGTCAAGTTCTAGCCTACAAACCGTCCAACCGGCCGTTTCGGATAGCAAAAGCACTACTTCAGTGGTAAGCACAAATTGTACGTGCTGAAGATCGAGGCGTCTGTTTCACACGAAGGATTCCTTGTTGACATGAGCGCCCACGAACCCGGCTCGGTGTTCGACATCACCATGTTTCGCAACCGCCACGACGTCCACCTGTCTGCCCTACGCAAGTTGGAGAATGAGACTACAATCAACGACAACGGCGAGCTCTTTCAAGACTTTCCTGGGTCGTGGACGGTACTCGTGGACAAGATATATGTTGGGTTGACGGGGATGACACGAGCCATCCACCCCAAGAAGCGACCGGTGCACGGCGCTCTTGACCGGGCCGACCTCGAGCGCAACACCAACGTGTCGTCGGACCGGGTCATCGTGGAGAACTTCTTCGGACATGTGTGTTTCCTATGGAAGATATCGAACTCAACTTTTGTGTGGGGGACCAAGTGCTACGATTCAATCCAACGACGCACCTTTGCGCTGACGAACTTCCACTTGGCCTTGATGCCGCTCCGCCAAGACGATCGCCACCAGTACCGCGCTGTCTTGGCTCGCTACCGGCGTATGGCGGAGGAGAACAATGCCAAGCGTGCGGCCATCCATCGTCGCTATGTCGTGCGTCGTGCGGAGAGATTGGCGTCGGACTCGCTGCGTTCTGGTGTTACCGCTCGTGGGTCGTTCATGTCTCCACGTGCAAACAATCGTCGATAGGCCAAGTAGATTAAATGAGTGAAGATTATACTTCTTTTTTTCATACAAACTTCAAGTATAAATTAGCATTGGTTTATAATATTCAGCATGGATGTTACTGACGAGTTATTCGAATATGATCAGGACGCCCGTCATTTCGGAAATATGGATGTCATTCGTCAGTACATTTGTGAATTCTCAATTACATGAACTAACAGTCAAGACTCGATATACTGTCAGGAGCACATATGCTTATTCAATCGCTGAGTCCAAGGAAATTTCTGCCTCAATTCGGAAAACTTTGCGTAAATGAACTGGAGGCCTTCCAAGACTTACCACAAGGCCATCGCATACTATAGTTTGTCCGGATAAAAGGTGTATTTTTAATGACTTTGATGACTGAAGTCAGGCGGATACTATTTACTACAGTACTATTGACGTGGCCACCAAAACATTCGCTTTTTTGTATCAAACATCACCCAATGCTATTGCGCAATAAGATGCCATAAAATGATTATTATTGGATAAGATAATAATTGAGTGGTAATCGACATCGTTATTGCCATTCACAATGACGCTTGCTTTAGCCTCACGATGGCAGCGCCTCCGTCGAGTGATGCGCGCCATCAAGATTCGAGGGCAGCTCAATGAACGCAACCACATCAAGTCCATTACACTTCTCAAGAACCAAGAGGACTCTCATTGGTACGTAATGTACCTATCGCGTGACCAAGGTTCTTCGTGGCTACAGTGGTGACAAATGTTTTATTCATATTTATTCTTGATATCCGAGGCAGCGAATTACTCATTTGCCGTCATGGCTTGCACGTCATACTTATTCACTCTCTATCATGCAATGAATTACTTATTCCCGCCCCCCGCCCAGATGAATAATTTACTTGAATAATTCAAACAGAATATGCAATACATGTATTACCGAACGGGATTAAGATAGAACTAACTACCTTACTGAACGAAGCGCATCATTTCTTGAACGTCTTCAATCGCCCAAAGGTTGATATTACCATGCAATTACATTTTCTCCCCGAAAATTTTCGGGGTCATGCTGCAACGTCGGTCTCCGATGGCCAACTTGGTAGACGAAAAGAAGCGCTCACACATCATGGACGTTGGGCACAAGAACCGGCAATCCATGAAGCCGCTCGTCATGCGCATCACCTTCTTCTTCTTCAGCGCCCGCTCGGCCAGAGACATCACAGGAAGCGCCACGCCCGCCGCGCTGGATTCGATATTTTCTTCATTGCGCAGCTTGTTCACGCTTTCACACTCTTCAGCTGTCATCGTTGTCTCGGTGTCGCGGAGGATCTTGACAATTGCACTCTCAAAACTTAGCTTTTTGACAACTCGCGCGCTCGGACCTAAACGACCCACTGCATCCGGATACTCTTCGATAACCGTATCGAAGATTTGGCGCACTTCCAAAAGAGAGCATTCATCGCCTTGTAAGGTGAGTGTAATCGAGTTGAGATCTTCCAGAGTGACTAGCAGGGCCGTCACTTCGCGATCTTCCTCCACATTGAGTCGTAGCACGTCGATTGTGTCGTCAGGAATAGCCAATAGAAATGGCTTAAGCTCAATATACCGTTTCAACATGTTGAACGTCAAACTCCAGCGTGTTGCACTTAATGTAATCGCACGTAGGGGGGTCGCACGACGCAGACGAGCGCCCGGCAGGGTAAAACGAAGCGTGGTCATAAGAGCGTTGACTTTGTCAATAACAGTCGCGTGGTTGGTGAGCATGTCGGACACAAAGAGGTTGAGCCGGTGGCTGGCGCATCCAATAAAAGGCACGACTTGCCGGGTTTTATCTCCGATAAGTGCGATGGCATTGCTCCAGGACTTCCCATACAAATCCAGGACAAACTCAGTAAACTCCACGTGGGCAGCCGCACTTAGAGATTCCTCCTCGTTTATTGGTGCAAAAGACAGTAGTACTCGAGAGTAGCCAATTACATCGCTGGACGGGTAGGACGCAAACAGAGCAAGGAAATGGGTTGAGCCACACGACCAACCATCGAACACAAGGGCGAACTTCTCAGGTAGTAGAAGAGCCACCTTCTTCTTGACGTGAGCACTAAGTCCGTGCATGTACTTAATGAACGAAGTTCGAGAGATCGAGTCCAAGTTGGCGAAGCGGCGGACGGTTGGATTTGAAACAAACGAAAACGATAGAAAACACAATGTAATCCAATACAGCCAACCAAGCGCTGTACGCACGTGTCGTAGGACCATGATCTCAGTGAGAGCGGAGGCGTTGGGGGGTTGGTGACATCAAACGCAACATACCCGGGGTGGTCGGCGGTGATATGCGAGATATGCGAAACGAGGTTGGTGTGCCCACTCCCTTTCTGCGAACATCGTGCACCACGCCGACATGTCCAGTTCGTACCGGCAAGAGCATTCCGAGTAAAGAAAGGCTCGGCGAGCTGGCGGCCGCGTAGTATGTTGCTGTTGGCAATGTTCATCAAAAAGATATATGAGGATAATACGTTTTCACTTTTTTGTTCGTGACTGATAACCATCCATATCTATAAGTGGTTTTGAACTCAAGTGTCGTAGTAACCACAAATTATTTCTGTCACAACCAATACTTTTTTATCACATTAAGTTCGAATAACCTATTTCTGATTGCTATAGAAATAAGTTATTCATTTTCTCCACCGTCACAATAGAAAGAATGCACTTTTTTCTAAGAAAAATGAATATATTCATGAGAAAATATTTTATGGTCACCATTGGCAACGAGACAACGATGACAAATGAAGATCGTGAAAGCGTGGTCAAGCTGCAGAACGTTGAAGAAACCGAATTCATCGCGACGTACGTTTCGGTTCCTGTGATGTATCGGTCGAGCGGGCGTTGAAGAAAAGCAAGATGGCACGCGTGAATATAGCGAGCAGCTCATAGATTGCCAGTTCTTGCGTCCAATATCTATAAGCGCTTTTTTTCGCTGCCCGAGTTGGCCATCGGAGACCGGCGCTGCAGCATGGCCCTGAAGAATTTCGAGGAGCAAGTATTTTTGCATGCCAATATCAACCTTGGACGATTGAAGACGTTCAAGAATCGAATAACCTATTTCTGATTGCTCCAAAAATAGGTTATTCATTTTCTCCGCCGTGACAAATGAATAATTTACTTTATACGAAAAATGAATATATTCACGGAAAAATTATTCACGGTAGCCACGGTGGCTACCGTGTCGATCAATCCTGCAACACTTCCAACAAGAGTACATCGTACTGTCCGGACCAAGGCGCGGCGGCCGCCCTCTCCGCATTCAGCACAAGCACGCATTGCTCGCGATGTTGTTGCTCTTCTACACGGCAGCGGTCGAAGCGAAAACGCTTCAAGAGCTATTTGCCCTGACTCCCAGTACGTTTTCCCGGGTTTTATGCCGTGCGGAGACAGCACTTGCAGCAGCGCTGAAGCATGCCAAAGGCTGCGATCATGTGGCCATCAAAGGCAAACACGTCGTCCACTTGTGGACGACGTGTTTGCTTTCGTTGACGGCAAGAGCCTACGCGTTCAAGAACCATCGAGCATTGATCCCCAAAATACCCATTACAACGGTACGTATATATAATATCACAAGACTCTAATAAACTAATAAGAGGGCTGCACAGCGATTTTGTCATGGGTGTGGTATGCTATGACGTTGATGGCACGCTTATCTGGGGGCGCCACAATTTCCCTGGTTCGTGAAACGATGGCGAGATGAGCCGCGGACTCCAAGAAATCCTGGCTGATGGCGCGAACGTTGGGGTCGAATATGAAGGTCGCAGCGGAAAATTTCCTTCCTCATTGGTGAACGCTACGCTGGTTTGAAGGAAGTTGACCTCGAACGTCAACCCCCAAGCTGTCGTTTAGCCCTGCAGACCATGAGTGGCATAAAACCCTAGAATATTTTTTTGGCACAATTTGACTTGAATCAATCTTCGTAGAATATATTCATTTTAGTACCTTGTGAGGTGTATTAACACAAGTATCGAAGCATACAACTTTATTTGGAGCCAAACATTTTCATGAACATCATGAGTTGATGTTGTTCTCGACGATCATCCCTATCACGACGCTCTTCTTCTGCTCTACGATCGCGTTCTTGGCGCACTTCTTCCACTTTGCGCTCGTCCATCGCGATCATTATCAATAAAATGTCATTCGTTGTCTTCAACTCCGCGTCTGCTGCGTCGTCGATGAACTTGTCAACGGATTGTCGCTTTTTCGCTATGTACGACAATTGACCGGTCGATTCACATGAACAACTTGACTTGAGGGTTTCACCAAGCTCTTCCAACGCCGAACGATCAAGGCCCGTTCTATTAGGACTTGCGTAGTGACGTGGTCTAGAATTCATAAGATATCAAAACAGTCGAAATATATGTATCGGGTTCTGAGGCGCCATCGTCCTCTTGTCTTCCTCGCCGTTGATCATGGGCACCGAGGAATCCAGTTCGGATAATTGGTACTCGAATTTCATTGGCTATAAATAGAACATATGCGTGTCCTCCTCTGCTCCGTTTCGTACAAAATAGCTTCACCAATTCGTCGTTTCCATCACTGCTTCTACCACCCATACAGTAAGGCATGATGGGTGGTTTCACGGGTCCTCATACTGTTAATAACAATCGCTGTACCCCTTATATGGTTCGCTGGCCTCGACAATCCGGCGGTGACATCGACGGTTGACGCAACGATGAAAAAAACGTTCACATAACCTTTATAAAATTATAAAGCCCTCGTAACTTGATTAAAACGGGTGGATGAACCAAATTCCGACAACTTTCTCTTTTACTCATTCCAACGTATGAACGGCGACTCACCTCCGTCCGCGCCACCTGCCGCTCGCGCCCCATCTCCATTAGTGATGTGCACAGTTCGGTTGCTTCTTAGTGAAGTCTCTCTTCGCAGATCACTTTGGTAAGTACCACAGACACCAGAAATGGCGCAAAGGCCTCCATGTCCCGAATGAAGTGGAACCAGGCCATGTTTACAGTACTGTTATCCAAACGGTACATATCGAGCGGGAAATCTGTCTTCTAGATATATTGTTGAGGAATCAAGTGAACTAGTAGTATGAAATCTGCCCATTTGGTGTATGTTTAGGAATTGAAGTGAACTGGTATTGTGCGCTCTCGCGACAAGGTTGACTGAAGTATCAGAAGGAGGAAAAGGAGCGAAAGGACGGTCTGTTGCGGTGCCGAGCGGCACAGCTCGAGCCAGAACCAAGTATCGATAGTCGCGTTCGCGCTGTTCGAAGCCATGGATGGCCTCTCGTCACGAAGGCCTGCTACCACGTATGGTTGCTTCCTTGTATGACTCAAGTCAAGAAAATGCCGTTGTTTCCGAATGCAACGGCGATATCAACGGTGAAGCCACCGGGGAAAATAACGAAGAAAGAAGCGATGGCAACAACTGTGAAGTGGGCGATGAACGTTTCGGTTGTGAAAGGGGCCATGGCAATGTGACGAATCGAAACGTCAAACGAAAAGGTATTTCATGATAGTTATGTATGTTACCTTACAGTTACAGTAGTCCATGTTCTTTAGCGAACGACATGTCTGATGCGACAATGGTTTTACGTTCACGAGGAAAGTACAACTAAGCTCGTTCGAAATAATTAAGCATTCTATACGTATACAGTGAAAGCGTAAGGGCTCGGTTAAAATGGTGTAGGACAAAATACCACAATATGATAGGTAGAAATAGATAATAGAGACGATTCATTGGCCAAAATTAGTGCGTACAAATACTAAGTGAGGTCGGAATATTGATCATATTCATCGGCGAGGTTAACAAATGGTACAAACGACCAATAGTTCTTGCCATCAGTAACAATAGCAGTACGTACTATATTTTTAAGGGTGAGGCGATTCGTATCGCCGTAGTTCGTTGCGGGTTGTGGCGTTGGTTCGGTGGCGTTTTCGCATGTTCCCATTTTCATCTGCCTTATCCATAAACATCTTCGTTGGGGTTAGCAACTGCAACTCCGTGTTGACAAATCCAGGGTTGCATGCGTTGTTGGCACTTGTAGCCATAGCTTTTTCACATATGCGTTGTATGGGGTCCAGTTTCATTCGCACATCTTTGACATTGTTGTTGTCAGCCAGGGCTAAAGCATCCAGTGTGAAGGCTGATGAAATTGCAGTCACAAGTGAGTTACCGATGCTTTCGACGTTGATTGTGCCGCTGCTGTGGTCGTTGGTTGCGCCGTGCATCCCAACGGTGGAAACACCGTTAGAGCCATCGGTTGCACCACCCGAGGAACGGTAAAATAACGTCTTGCTCTTTTCGGCTGCAAGCATATCACTCTTGGATGTCGGAAACGTCCACAGTGGTTGCGTGTACCTCCTCACTTTGTACATTGGTGCTGGAACTACACCAATGTTAGATTATTTCGCTGTCGAGGACATACATTATTATGTTTCGTCGCATCGTATTTCTCGTTCACAAAGACATGTGCTTGCAAAGGGAAAGCTCGTTGTACATGAAGGCTGGGCATGTACAACCTCACTGCGTGATGCAGATGTCGTAGCTGTCGCAATTCAACTCGTTGCGTTGAATTTTGGCCGCGCACGCTTTACACGTTCGGTAGAAGGTTTTCTCCCAGTTCGGTTGCGGATGTCCAGGCAACAAACTTGTTGAAGTTAAAAACTTCTCCATGAACCAACTCTATACCGTTGTTGTGAGTCAGTACACGGTAAGTCAAGACGGGGGCGAGATATTTCCTACGCGTGCAAATATATTGGATACATAAAAATTTAATTCCAGGTGTGAAATATTTATTATTTTTGGATAAGCTACTTCGAGAGATCTGTACTTCAATGTTGAAAAGTGCGACTCCACCAGCATGCTCGTTCGAAACTCCGATATCGTAGCTTTAGTGCCACGCGCCCAATGACGCCACGACAGGGGATTGTACCAGTTCGAATATATGTACATCCATCCACATGTGAGGCAGGTCGTTTACGCTGCAGAATGTGAACATTTCGACCACATCATCATGGCGTAGAGTTGGCTCGTCCTACACGATAGTAATATGAATTGCTTATTACTTTGAATTTTCAAGAACATTCAAACCTGTCCCGTACGCAATAGATGCTCTTTGAAGTGCCTCTTCATGATGTGCAGAACCTCCTGGTAGTGTCCCTTTCCTCCGAAGTGTTGTCCATCAGCGGGTGCAGTACTGCCTATATATTTATCAGTGCCCTCGATGATGTAAATGCCGGTGCATTCACCGGCGTTGGCGTCGTTGAAAGAACCGATGAGTCAACGGTGCGTCCATCGTTCATGTCAACGTCGCCAAATCCAAGCACTACCCATGTCATTAGTATATATCTTTCACTGCAGTATATAATACTCGAGGTGTCCGTATTCGAAGTGTCCAAAGCGCTATCATCACAATCCCTTACATCACTTGTCGTTGGTTTAGCACTGCCGCGGAGAGGAAATTCCCCCCCCCCCGAAATATAATAGTGATGGCAGTAGGGGGTGCGCCTCGAGCATGTTGTTGTATCTACAATGTGTGATGGAATGCTGTATATAGGAATGAAACGTACGTTGACATCATCGGTAACGTTTGGTGCTGTGAAAACCACGACCTCACAGCCCTATCTAGATGCCACAAGCACAACTGGGGATCGGCTTCCGTTCAAATCGATCGAATAGCACTGATTTGGCTAGAGTCTTTGTCGAGGTGAACAAAGCGTGGCGCCAAGTGAAAATGGTGGCGTAGGAGCGCAGATCATTGCGCCAAATACGTAATGCGAATATTTTTTAGATCTAACACATTTATGAGGTAACAGAAAATACTATTATATGGAGAATACAATTAAAATCGCTGTTCTTTTGAATGAACATGTATGATACTGGTTACACTTCACCACGAAATGATATGATCGCCGCATACATTTCGAAGTTCCCGTTCGTCATTCGATGTGTTGAGTCGACGACAAGCTCTGGGACAAAGGATAAGTCCCCGCATTCCAATTGCTAGCACGAGCTCCGCGAGCTTGTCTAGCTTTACCGCCATGCAAAGGACTTACCTGAGTCCAAGCGGGTGTAGTATCTTGAAGGTACTTAATTGTGATTCCACATGATACGTAACGGCTGAAACGTACGGATCTTGATTGTGTTTAATATACACCTCCATGTTCTACACAATATTACAGTACTGTACGATAACGCTTGCGCTACACAATACTACACTCATCCCATTTTTGCACGACGATGATTTGATAAAAAAGTACAGTTATTGGATTCCAAAGCGTAAGGACTTTATAAGATCATACAAGTTGAAATTAGCAGAGTAAAGTTCATCGACACATATGAGCCCACTCGAAGGCTTTCAAAGGCATCCATCAACGATATTTGAGGTTCAATCGTTTGAGCCCTAGAATTCCAAATAGTCGTAGCTGACACTTCGTCCCAAGCCTCTGTTGCCCACATCATGGCCTGCAGAATGTCGAGTCGATCGCGTTTGGGTTCTTTCGCTACTGGATAGACACCATGCTCCCAGCGGTAATTTCATCAACAACCCCAATGGCATGGTCCAGCTGACGTCTCTTGTTGTACTGCTTGAACATTGAAATGATTCCGGCGTCCATAGGCTGCAAGACTGAAGTCGGCGGAAGCATCAGCACACGCACATTGCGAATGTCAGCCTGCACCACTTGATGCGATGACGCATTGTCCAACAGCAATAATATATGTCGGTTCTGACTCCTCATCTCATCGTTCAGCTTCTCGATCCATTCCGAGAACAACGCAACTGTCATCCACGCTTTGCGGTTGCTACGGTAGTACAAGCTCAGCGCTTGAGCTGTCAAATTGCCAAATCAGCGTGGTCTGGCGGCGTTCCCAATAAACAGGACATGGAGCTTATGGAATTCATCGGCATTCGCAGCCAAGGCAGCGGAGAGTCGCGACTTGTCCTTTTTGATACCATTCAGTGGCTTGCTGGATATGGAGGTGTTGGGTTGGGACTTGCAAAATATTGCAGTCTCGTCCATGTTGTAGATGTCACTGGCATCGTACAATTGGGTGTCGAGCTGCAGAGATTTTCGTCCATCGTTGGCAGTATTTGGATCGACAGAAGCACTTCACCGTGGAGATGATGGACCCAAAAGTTGGAGCGCCTTTGAAACTTGTAAAGCCATCCTTGGGACGCACGGAAATTATGGCCAATACCAAGGGAGGCAGCAACTTGGAGAGTCTTTTGCTTGAGCATGGGACCAGTCACGTACACATTATTGCCATTGGCAGCATTAACCCACAGCGATAGCATTTGGTCGAGCTCAGGGTACTACTGAGGTGGCTTAAAGTTGTAGCGTTTGCCTGCGGCCATATGGGCAATGCTGAATTCTCAGGGTGCTCGACTGTCCTTAAGAATGCGTCGAGCTGTGCTTGAGTGGATGACACATCCAAACTCGTTTTTGGCCCACTCGCACACCTGAGCTAACAGTAAGGTCAATGACCCTTCTGCCTGGTTTTTGTAGAAGACACGCAATGCATCTTTTTCTTGCAAGGTCAATCTTCTTCCACAGGATGGCATTTCGTTTGACGTGAAGCCAATTTTGAATTTGAAATCGATCCTCTTGAAATTTATAATGATAAGTTTTTGGAAAATATTGAATATGCCCTCGTGCAAAAATGGGGGCATGACTGTACAACTACCTTGCGCCACTGATTCGAAATTTGATTGATCGAAGGAATTGAAATAGGATTACCCTTTTCCTTCAACTTCAATAGGGAGTACCGGATTTTCCATGGCGTCAGGTCAAGAGCGTGCTCCTGTTGAGCACAAGGGTCGAACCACCGCGTGTTCAGGATGGGGAATATCGTGTCACAACGCCACAAAGATGTAAAGATCAATTGACGCAATCGACAATCGACCTAATGGTGTCAAAATAGTTTGTACAATAATTTTGAGCGGTTCGTATTAAGTAGTTACCATTAGGCCGTGTTCCGAGGACAGTGGACTTTGGTTCCGGATTCTCTGTTGTTCCCAGGGTAAAACTCAAGTTCAACTTCGATGGGTTTTTCCGGTGACATATCAACATTTCAATAAGTCACATTCACTCATACATACCAATTTGGATTCCCAATAATCCGAATTATCCCAAAAAAGAGGATGATCCCAAATTCGACAAAACTTCGGTTTGTGGTAAAGAAAGTGCGAACATAACTCGAAAATCCTCAAGAATCCGGATTCTTAGTGCCTCCGAACACGGCGTTACAGTTGAAGAATGCCTTCGATACTACGTTTCGCCGCTGTCGGAAGGAACCTGGCGAGAACCTTGGTCGTAGTGTCCTTGCGGAGCTTGTCGCAGTCACTGCGTTGGGCGCAGCGAAACGTTGATTGTAGGATGGGATACGGAAATCTCTTCAGCAGAGTTGTCTTATTTTTCCGAGCCCAATAATATTAACTTAATTAGCTACAGGTATACGACACTCCAAAAATGTAATGATAATAATAATATGTTTTACCAGAAGGAGTAGCCGTTGAGATCACGAAACTGATGCAGTACGCGGGACACATCGCCGTCGTGAAATGCAGAGTCAACTTGCTCGCATGGCCTTGCAATACAAGCAATCACGCGTTGTCCGCAATGCTCCGCAAAAGGATCACCAGGCTCCTCTGCATACTCATGCAACGACGCAAACGACGACGTCACGTAAAGTTGATCCGACGTTTCGAGAAAGTACATATTCTACGGAGTAGTGCGGTGGCGTTAGGCAGCCCTGCACCCATAGCACGTCTTCAACGGAAGAATAGTCGTACCGTGGACATAGAGCTTCCATGGTACATGGGTGTTGCATCGGTTGCATTGCAATAAGCATCGGTCATACACTGCATCCATGCCTGGGCTTGAATTTGAATGCGTGTCAATTATCCGGCATGTGGTCCATCCAACCGTTTTGATCCGTTTTTAGAGGTACGTATACTGTTATAGAGTTTTCGATACTTTGCTATCACCGATGGTCTCATCGGCCGTCAAGCGGACTATTAATGGGCTTACAAATTTAGTTGTGTAGGTTTTGGAAGCACTCATTGCGTAGGGAGAAGTTCGTTGGATGCGAGATAAATGCTGCAGCACACAAAAATTGGTGTATCAACATACAACATATGATGAGAGCCAGTTTGTTGAGAATTTGGGCACCTTCATAATCTAATTCAAATGGACCTGGTTGGAAAAACAAATCCATTCCAAAGAGATGAATCCTAATAGTTCGATGTTGTTGGAGCGAACCATAAATAGTGTGAACATTTCTCTCGAGAATTTTGCTTATACCACCACTTCTGGAGCTGGAGTGTTGGTGCCTCGTCGGTGGCGTGCGATGTTGGTGGACATGGTTGTGTCGGTGGTCTGGGTGGTCGTACCGATGGGCGGGTTGGTGATAGTGCCCATGGGTGTAGTGCACACAGCACTCAAGTCAACACAGGAACGTAGCATACAGGTCATCACATTTGATTTAATGGTCTCTTTTCGGTTATATCTAAGGGGCATGGCTTGTAGCAGCGTCGTTGGACCTATGACCTAGTTTTTTTATACATTTCCGAATGAAGTGTACGTGATGGATATAATCCTTCACACAAGGAGGGTCTTCCGACGCCACAAAGCAATTCCGTGGAAGACGTGCAATGTCCAGTAGTGACCAAGGAGCGACACGTCGGAGGTGTGAACGACGAACACTCCAGAGCCGTTGTCGTCGAGGATGCCGCATATGTAGTCCATCTTGTCCTTGACCACAGGTCTGTTGCGGATGCACGACTTGTTATAAACGGATACGGTCTATGCCAAAAACCCTAGCCATGAACCAATCCACGAGTCGTTTGGCTTCCTTGACGTCCAAACCACCTTCGGTCGCCGAAAAAACCTTTGGCCTAAAAATGATGCCACTTCGTCCAGCGAGCATGACAGTGAGAGACTCAAACGATTCGCCGCCGTGCGTACGGCTTGTTTAACGCAATCCATACCCGAACGAGCGCCAATTTTGCGGTAGTAGTTGACGTCAGCTTTTTTTAAGTTGCCCAGGACCAGAGTGGGATGTCCGTGATGGCCTGGTGTAGTAGCCACGTAGGCTTCGTAGCAGTCCAAAACGTCGAATAGTCGAGGTTGTTGACGTTCATCGTGGTGGTCACGGTATAGCCACTTCAATTTGCCGTCCGAGTACAATCCTTCATACATCCACAGACCTTGCCTGCCTCACCGGGGGTCCACTTCCTGCGCGCCACGATGTCGTTCAGAGTGGGTGGCTCGTCGTCTGATGCAACATAGTCTGCACTTGAACGGGCGTCCTGCAGCATGCGTCGGGGGCAAGGACGAGCGACAGCGACAGCTCAGAGTCACGACATTTCTTCGAAACGCCGGTACGTACCACCTTGAGTTGGAGCACTTCGCATCTGTGGAATAATTTTTGATCCAAACGACACTTCTTTAGATGACATTATTCCTTCGATCGCTTGACAACGAAGCGAAGCGCTGCTGGGGGTCAAGGAGTTGGACATCGTTCTCGAAAATGAAACCACGTTGGATTCGGATACATAGCACTCGAAAGTAAAAGTATTTTTTGCTTATGCAATATCTACGATTGTGTATAAAAGCAAGCAAAAATCTAGTACAATGAATATAGTTAATGCATGGGCCCTCTGTATTCGACACCTGACACTAACCTGGATAAGCACATTGAATGTAAATTCACCAGCGTGAGGGTTAGTAGCAGGTATCCAACCGGGGACTTTCTGCATGCGAAGCAGAGACTATACCATTAAGCCAAAATATCACTAACAAGGGCTTTACAGTGAGAATGGTGTCGCTGACCTCCCCGAGTGGACGTGCTGCTTGTTCATTCCATCGCCCACACGCCCGAACCGTCGGGACAAGTATCGCTACCACGGCGTTCACACCAGAGCCACCAATTCATCGATCACTCACATGATCATCGCCACCTTGGACGGCGTACCATCATGGTGACGTCAGAGCCATCACTACATCAACCACTGATAAGACCAAGCGGTCTCGCGTCGCCACTAGAGCAACCCCTGCATCGACCTCCGGCACGATCACAGCATCACAGGCAGACATAGCCGTCTTGTACGAGCCATCTTGGACAGTACAATCCCATTAACACTTTGATGCGTGCCACCACTATGTCGATCACTAACACGATTACCGATAAGCCCAAGCTGGCTTTGATGAGATAACCACCGCTATATCATCACTAACACGGTAACCGATAGGCCAGAGCCAGCTTGAACGACTCCTCCACTACGATGGCACCACTGTGCCTATCTTGAAAATGACCGAGCTGTCTTGGGCAACCCCACCGCCACGTTGTGTATCATCAGCAATTATGTACCTCACATCGCCGAGACGATCAGATATATATGTCTGGATTCCAACCACGTACAAAAGCAGTTAACACTCAAAAGCTCAGGAAAATGCTGTTTATCGATCCTTCATGATCAAAATTCGCTCGTGGCTAAACACGATTTCTGCAAGCAAGGTCAAATTCTCAAAATCCATGAGAAGTGCCCTTTGCGTCACAATGGTATCTTGCGCTTCTACCATGCTACTGCAAATGGCATGGACTTGGACGCCAAATTGAGTAGGATTCAATATTTCGTGCGATTGCTTTAGTTGGTTCAAGGCTTTTCGAATTTCTTGTTGTTCGTGTGTTGAACCGCGCATGTATTTAGACATGAGTACAATATGTATTATATATATCAATCCAGAGCAGTACTTGCTGATTGTTCACTTTATACTTGTGATGTTTGTAGCATTATATGCTTGGCTAAGAATTGACGCCATGATGGAAGTGAGTGTAGTTGAAACATAAATTGACTCAATGACTGTATTTGAAACGCATGTTACCCACAAATATCCAACCACCGTTGCAATTACCCTCCATCAAGTACTACGAAGCTAATCTTCATCGCTACAAATGCAAACAAGATACAAAGAACGCCCAAAGTACGTCGTGTATGCATTACACCACATTTCACATATCCGTAGGTCCCATCACAAATGAAGGTTGCGTTTCGAGGGAGGCTTCACCAGGACACTATGACCAAGGACATATCGAGACTGCTCAAAGAAGCGTTGGCCAAACAAGAAATCGAACTGCCGAGTTGTTGCCCACGCTGCAACAAATCCAAGGTGCAGTGAAAACCATTCGATGCCAAGAGTTCCGACAATTCAGCATAACAGAGGCAGTAGAAGCCGAACTGGCAAACTGGGTGGAATCTAAACGAGGTAATGTTGGCGATGCCAACAGATCATTCGCTTTTGGCGTCGATATCATTGAAGATCAACTTCAGCCACACCTTGGTAATGGTGGTGACGAATCGTTTCGCTACGGTACAAAGGTTATTATTTTACTTGCATATCCTAATACCCCATGCTAGGATTAACAACGTTTCACCTGATGGAGAAGTATCGAAGTGCGTGCGTTCAACGCCCCAACACAAGTCTTCTACTCCGCATTGACAGCACATTCTAGACGAACACGTATGGCTATCCGGTGCTCGTTGTCTAAACAAATTCCACCAATGTGGACTAGCGGTGTCAACGCACTCCAAGTCCAGCACGAGTTGCGTTGGCAGACGTACTGGGAAAGAGGGAATGCAACGCCCACCGAAGAAAACTGTAAGTCACATAAATATTTGTCCAATCAAATTGATTATTGAAATTGGCTCGCATTCATTGGCGGAATTTTTATAAAGCGCGCCCGCGCGCTTTTCAAACAATTTAATTCTGCTCTGGACTTGCAAGTCCACACAATCACCACACACATCCGAACATGAGTCGACGTAAGCAATATCCCATATCGACGAAGCTCGAAGCCATTGGTCTCCTC